TTCCAGATAAAGCTTGTTAATAGAAAGCCAAATGATGTAAGATCAACTAGAAGCACTAGAAAGCATGGGACCTGCAAAACCTATGTAAATTTACACAGTTCTGCTCTGGCTTCATAAACACACTGTTCTCCTTTATTAGGCTACAGGCATTGAGATGATGTGAGGGCAGTCAGGCAAACACTTGCCTTCTCACACCAGCCTTAAACCAAGACTGTCTTGCCATAGTGATCCCCAAAGCAAATCTGGGCTCATGCACTCTACAACAAGTGTAATTGGACAGAATAATCCATACCTAAGTCTGCTTGCTTATCAGAATCTTAATTGGCAAAATATGATGTGTTAAAAAAAAGATAATAAACTTAATTTATAATATATTGATTCCTAGTTTGCCCCTCCCTCAGGATTTCTTTAGAAAGCAAGCCCACTCCTCAGCTGCTCCAGTCAAGTGCTTACCATAGTCCTGAAACAGGTTTCAATGAGATGCAACACCTGCCTTTGATGACAGTCACACCGTGTTGTGTGCAGGTAAAACATGTTCATCTTTCCACTATATTCAACCAACTGACATCAATTAGTAGATCAATCTAGCTTCTGCAATTTAAGTTAAAAATGCAAGAAATCTAAAAAAAACTACAGAAAAGGGCATAAAATCTATTACTTTTAAGAAACTGAAGAAACTAATCTGAAACATTCCAATTCCTGTCTACACACATTCCTGTCTACTTCCTCTCCTTTAAAGGCGAAACACATTCTGGTAGTGCACTTCTCCATATTGTATCAGCCTAAACTAGCTTTTGGGATTTTTCCTTAAGTAAAATAACCATTAATTAAAAAAATAAAAACATTATGGCCTTAAAAAGAGTAAAATAAATTGACCAGTTATAGAGTGCTCAATGTCAAATTCAGATCACTTAACGGAGGTTCGAGTATGCGCAGTGAAGCATCAGTTCAGTGCAGACACATTTATCTTTGTGTTTAAATGGCTACCAGAGACAAATAACTTATTTTAAAAACTTACTAAAAATTATGTACATTAATACCAGTTTTGCATTTCAATCTTTAATAGTTTCCAAGTTGCTGATTTAAGAACAGTGCACAATAAAACAAATTCTTTCTTCTGTTGGACAAAAGATACACCTATTAAAAAAAATAAAAGCTGAAGCCTGAAGTCAAATGGAACTAAAGAAAATGGCCACCAAAGCAAGGAAGCTGCTGCATGGATCCAGTGACGCAAGACAAAGATCAACCTCAAAAGGAAAAGAACACTCACATTAATATTATTTTTAAAACCTAGTAATTTTCTATTCTGTTAAGGAAAAAAAATAAGATTGGGCATTCAGAAATTCTGACAAAGCAAGAATAAGCACTTGCTCTCAAGAGTCACATTACTAACATAAAGCCCTAAAGATCTCTATCTTGTGCTGTTAGGGGTGGAGCAGGGCATCTCAGACATTCCCCATGCCAGGGACAAGTGCTGTAACAGCACAGACCCAGCTCTCAGCAGAAGGTGCTGTACAGAGAGACCTCGAGGACACACCCAGACTGCTCAGGGTGTAGTCCCTAGGCAGACTACAGCAAGGGAAAGCTCTGGGTTTGACACTGCGGGCTATTTCCTAAGGCAGCAGCCAGCCAGCCCCTTCCAACCACAACCAGCCTTCCCTGGCTGCTCGAGCTGGGGCTGGGCAAGCGCTGCCATCACCTACCACAGAGAGCTGGGCTTCTGCCCTCGGACACAGCTGCCCTCCGCCCCTTATTCCTCCTGCCCTCGGACACAGCAGCCCCGCTGCCCCTCTGCCCCTTATTCCTCCTGCCCCTAATTCCTTAGGCTGGGATGGGCTGTGAACAAGTGTGGGAAGCGGCATTTAGCTGGCTCAAGCAGCTGTTGTCGGCATCCTCCCAGAAAAAACAACAGAGTGGAGAGAAGCCGATCAAACACCACCATTGGACTGCTCTGGCTTAAATGAAGTCAGGAATTCAGTGCTTGGTTCCATCTCGCTCAAGCAAAGCAAAGAGCAACAAACAAGCCAGTGTGACAGTTTTCTTCCTGACATCCAGCAGTGAAAGCAACAAGAACATGTTAATCCATCAAAAACGGCCCTGAGATTCACCACATGGTGAACTACTCATGAACGGATTTTTAAGCTCACCTTAGAGATCACTACATTGTCAGACAGAGCCCGTCTGTGGCTCTATTTTCATCAGTAAATTAAATGAAAATTAAAAAACAGCCAAGCAGCATGCAAGCTGCAAAGTAACAAATGTTGAGGTAGCGACTTTAGACTTAATATCAGATTTGTCATCTCTAATGACAAGTATGCACTCATTACTTTTACAAACCTTTAAAAGTACAAAGTTGACTCAATCTAGTACTACAACAATACTGATAAAAAATAACCTAGTAAAGCAACAGCCTTAAAGGAGCAACAAAAATAAACTTTAGAAGGAACTTTAAAGTGACATAGAAACATACTTTACCATCTCACAGAACATTTAAACTTGCACAGAGTGAGAAAATGCAACTGTGACACTGAAAATATTATTGAGCTTTTTAAATGTCATTAATGCAGCTCCACATGCCAACCATTACACATTCATCTCTCTACTTTTTGGAAAGATCATTATAAACTGGGTAGAGCTCTTTCTTATTAATAGCATGCTTATGTAAACCAAAGTAAAACAGATCTCTCATCTATAATGCTGATCCTCAGCAAAGTGAAAGCACCAGCACCTTTCTGAGGCTGGGAAGTCCAGGACAAGCATCTTGAGCCTGAGGGTGTCTGCCACCATCACAGACTCACCAAGAGACTGCTGCCAACAAAGTCCTGCCCTTCCCCATCCCCACGACCCTCGCAGGCACAGCTGCCAAGCTCCTACTGCCCCAGCCAGCTCTGGGACATGACATTACTAAGCACTAATATAATGAGGCAGCAGGCCGAGCCAGATTTCAGAAGCTGCCCATACTTCTATGTCAGATGGGTATGACTGTGCAATTGCACATCCAAATATAAATTTAATACAAGATGGCAGACAGCAACGCTCTTCTGAGTTGCCAGTTGAGCAATGACTGAATAAAAGTGCAATATCCAATGAAGTAATTTATTATTATTGTTATTGGCTTTGCTTACATTGCTTCTGTGCTAGGGCAACCTTTCTACAAAAACTTAATCTGAGCCTAAGCTAATATACATGAACAGAGACAACCTAAACTGAAAAACTGTAAATATAAGAAAACCCACTTGCTTCACACGTTTTGAAGCAGAAAGAGAAGTATTTTATTTTGTGGTGATTTAAAAAAATAAAAACATGGCATAAAATGACCCATAAAAATGCAGAAAATTGTTCTTCAGTTTCAAAAACTTCTGCATTCCAGGACAGTGGATAACAGTGAGATATGAGTTTTCACAAGGCAAGGATAACTGGAGTTTTAGATATAACTTATGTCCTGTGATAGTCTGAAATTCATCTCAAGCATTCAGAAGAAAAATTTCACATGATGGAAAAATGCTTTGACAAACTCTAGCTTTTGAAAGTACTTTCAAAAAAAAGGTTAAGTAAAACATGAGATTTCACCTATGATTTAGCAGTTCCCTCCACTCTCAGTACCTCCTGAAATACAAGCCAAAAACAAAGGCAGGAGCTGGACAAACTTTATGAAAAAAATCCCAAGTTTTTTTAGGATTCTGCTGTTATCTGTAGAGACTTTCCTCCTACCCCTGCAATTAAAGTGCTAGAGCTTACACAACACAGCAAGCATAGCTGGTCTTGGTAAATCAGCACACAGCCAAATCAATTGATAGATGTGCTGCAGATGATGTGCAGTCTCAATTGCAGTCAAATGCACAGTTTACTCAAAATCAAGGCAAGCTCTTCCCTTCTGGAGAGGTAACATACCATTGTCCTGAGAGCTGGAATGCCTGATAAGGGCATTATTTGATAAACACTTGACACTACGTTTCAAATTTCAAAGGCATTAATAGTCAGCAAAGAATGCCAAGTGAATCAAAGAAAGCTCTTGGGATTTTAATGCCAAGTTATGTCCAAATTTAGAGTCTTGATGAAGTCACTAGGCTCAGGAACAGGGTCTGATTACTGTAAAATCTACTAAAGACAGAACACAGGTATTCTGTGAAAATTACTTCAGTTCTCCAACTGTTCCAGAAGGGATAAAGAACAAAGGCTAGTTTGTGCATACTCCTATTTAAGCACTTAGTTACCTCTAGAGAAGTAGAGCATGAAGACTTAATGACTCTGTTGTACAGTTTTTCAGAACAGGTATTTTTTAAAGTAGTATGGTTAAAGCAGCTTGCAAAATGTAGTAATGACAGGCCTACAAAAATGCCCAGATTGCAAGCTGTAACTTCATGAATTCCAAGCTCACATCCATGTTATGATGGACAACATCATCGATGAAAATGATGCTATCACTCCAGAGAGCAAGAACGTTTCCATTAATTGAACCGGCACAGGATAAAGTTGAAAATACCCTGTCAGCAAATTCATACCTATTTTTCTTCACCGCACCGAACATTTCCCTAGCACGATAAGCGGATCTTAACACCCACCGCAGCCATCTGTTAGCAAAAAGGAAAACAACCACGGGCTCCTGGCAGAGATGCCCGCACGCCGCGCCGCACCCAGCCCAGCCCGCAGGGCCCCGGCGAGCGGGCTCGGAGGGCGGCCGCCGCAGGGAGGGGCCGCCGGGGCCGCTGTGGGAGGGGAGGGGAGCGGAGCGGAGCGGCGGGAGACAAAGCGCGGGGAGCCTGCTCTGCCGCCGCCCGGCCCCGCCGCCTCCCGTCCCTGCCCGCTGCCCCCCCGCCGCCTCAGCCCCGCCGCCCCCAGCACTGCCGGCCGCGGGGGCTCCGCCAACGGGCAAGGCGGCGCCCGGGCCCCGTTCCCACCGCCGCCACCGCCCGAGCACGCCCCGGCTGCACCACAAAGGACCCGCCCGGCCCCGGGCGCCCGCCGGCTGCCCAAGCCCCGGCCCCGCCGCTGCCGCTCACCTTCCATCCCCTCCATGGCGCGCCCCCACCGCCGGCTCGGGCTGGGCTCGGTTTCCGACCGCCGCTGCTGTGGCAACGCCGCCACCGCCCGGCCCGCCAACAACCGCCGTTCCCATTGGCCGGGCGGGCAGGCGGGCGGGCGGCCTCTGCCTCGGCACCGGCACCGCCCCGGCCGCTGAGGGGATCGAGAACCCCGCTCCGCTCCGCAGCCCCGCTGCACCCCTCCCGCCCGCTGAGGGGATCGCGAACCCCGCTCCGCAGCCCCGCTGCACCCCGCCCACTGCGCGCCGCCCGGTACGGGGGTCGCCAGCCCCGCTCCGCCTCGCCGGGCCCGGGAGATGTCACCCGCCCTGGGAGATGTCACCCGCCCTTAGGCTGCGCCCTGGTTGGGCTCCCAAGGGAGCAGGGCACCGGGTGTGGGCATCTCCCTGCAAAAACCAGGCGCATTCTGACTCAGGTGCGATCTGACGGGTCCTGAAGCCCATTCGTTGAGGTTATGCTGGGATCAGCGATCTCCTTCCATGAAATACAGGATCACAGAATCGTTAGGGTGGAAGAGACCTCTGGGGATCGTCCTGTCCAAACCCCTGCCAAGGCAGGATCACCCAGAGCAGGTGATACAGGGACGAGTCCAGGTGGATTTTTAATATCTCCAGAGAGGGAGACTCCATGACCCTCCCTGAACACGAAGACCAAAGCGAAGAACACAAGGAGAAATAATCGTGTAGTCGGCAAAGCATCCAGCGTCTCTGGATGGATACAGGCAGCAGCTCGGATGGTGTCAGGGTCCCTCCACCCTCAGCACCCAGTAGCTGCACAGATGGGTGCTGATGTGTGGCCTTACTGAGTGTCCCCTTGCTAATGAGAAAACTAGGGCAACTACAGGAAAAACAGAGAAAAAAATGTTTTCAGGTTCATGTCCTGAAAACAGACAATGTGTTCCTGCACCCTTTCCCCCCCTTATTTTCTTAACTGAAAGAGATGCTAATTAAAGATTAGTTATCTTGATGGAATCTCCTGCTACAGGAGAACATTTGAGTATGGATGTTTTTGGAAAATAGTGCTGCTAAATTGCCGTTGGCTAATGAATATAAATAATGCTTGATACATATGGAATTTTTTTCTTATTCTTTTACAAAAGGTCTCCACATTTTTAGCAACCAAAGCATTTCAATCTTTCTTTCTTCAAGCCATTATTTTAGAATTACTTCTTAAGAACTTTTATTTGTCTTTCTCGTGGCAATATGCCATGAGCAACTAATAAAGTTTTTCTGAAGTACAATAAATCTTACAGAAATTACTGCTGTCTTTACAGGCACATGCAAATAATTTCTCTTCTTATGCTAGACAAGTTGTTTGATACAGATTCACTTGTCCATAGAATCACAGTTACTGTCCTTATCACAGCACATCTGTGAATGCAACACAAAGAAACAAATACATTAAAACTACATTAAATTGGAGATTATGGTCATGTTGTCATTTCTGCATCCCCTTAGCACAGAACAAATAGATCCAGATGCTGCATGCCAAACAGCCAGCATGTAAATCATGACTAATATATGATTAAAATCATCATTTGAGACCAAAAGCATGGGTACATATGGTAGTTCCAGCTGCAATTTTTTCTAGTTAATTTAGTAAAAGTACATTTCAAATTTGCCTTTGGTCTCCAGAGTTTATGCTTATAAAATTACAGGCCATGCCAGAAGTAACTAGTTTGCCACCAAGTTGCAAAGTTCTAAACTTTGCAAATGATCCTTTAAATCTTTGACACAGAACTTAAACAAGCCTATAGCTAGCAAGCATTTCCTGATAAACTTAGGATTTGGACAGTGTACCAGAAGTGCACTTCCTTTCATAATATTTCCATATGTGGATTGCAAATCCAAAACCAGAGGAGATGTTCTCAGTTTAGTGAAGGGTTTCCTATTAGAAGTGCATTTTGTTTGGTTTTGTTTATTGTTTCTCTTTGGAATTTTGGGTTATTTTTGTTAAAAGCAGGGACATATATATAACAGGGGCATAATAACTTCAGGCCACCTACCTTCAAGTGTCTACAGTGTGCTGTTCACATCTGAGGTAACGGTCAAGTTCCCCAGCACAGTCTGTAGAGATTTGTCCCTGTTGTTGATATGGTCTATGGGATCTGCCTGGCCAAATTATCATCTGTTCCAGGATAAGAGACAAGTGAATCACCAACACTTGCCTCAGAGCAGGATTCTGCTGAAAAACTGAAAGATTCTTTTGGCTCTTGTGGCTGTTGTCTGAACATGAGTTGTGCAACTGTAACTGTGGACAGCACACTTTAAAGGACTCCTGATGCTGAACAGGAGCTGTCTTTTAACTGTGGTGTCGTATGGGGAGCGGGGGACAAGTCCTCTGTGATCACAGCTACTGTGCTACATGAATGCCTTCACAAATTTACCTTCATGCTGACTGAAAAAACCCAAGCCCGTGTTTTCCTTCTGTAGACCTACTGTGCCAAACTCAAGTTTTTGATGCAATGACATTCGTATAACATTTAGGATTTTTTTTTTTCAAACCATATGCTAAATTTATTAATTGCTTGTTAGCATCATGTATACTTGTGCCAAGATTTATTTCTGGCTTATGTATTTTATTGTTTATCTCTTTGATGCATTTATAGGGAACTAGCATCCGTTCTGTTTCAGTATTTGGCTTGTCAGCCTAAATAAAATAGAGCTCTTCTGCACTGTCTTCAGAATCTATGCTTCCCATTTCCATAGCCACCATGGTACCCTGTATTGGACCTATTCCTTGTTAGTTCATATTTCATGTCTGATCAGAATCTTAAACTGTCCTGGGGAGGTGATCTTATCGCATCACTGAGACCTCTTTGCCTCTGCTGGGAATGTTTCTATGAATACATCTTAGGTTACATTTGCTATGCTATGGTAAGCCTGTAGGCACCAGTATATATTTAGCTCCTCTTCCATATCAGTTGTTTTGTGGAGTCAGCAATGATGATAGAAATTTTTGCCTCTAAAAAGTAATGCAGTCTGAACAGCTTCCATCCTGAGTGTTCAAAGTCCTGAGTGTCTCTGAGAAGAATCAGGAAAACACAGCCTTAAATCCAAAAGCTATATATTCCTTACTTGAACTTTTTTCAAAGAATTGAAATATAAATGCTAGCACAGCCATGCTCACCTGTGCCCAAACTCCAGAAGCAGTTCCAAAGAAGAGAGATAAAAGTCAATCTGAGGTTTGCTCAAATATTAAGCAGGTGTCACAGTTTCCAAAAATACTCTGGTCTCCTTCTGCTGGCCAGTAAAGGGACAGTTTTTCATTTTTTGTTGGTTGAAAAAGGAACCTGACCACGAGGATAAGTTGCAAGAGATAAATGATGACTTTGTGATATATTAGAAAAACCCATTTTCCCTATGGTGGGCATAGACAAAAGTTACAGGTTAGTCTAGATCATTGGTTGCATAAATTAGTCATTTTCAAGTGCTTAGAGACACGGAGTCATGACCTAAGATTTGAAAGTGTCCTGAATTTCAAAACTTAGGGAAGCAGTGACACCAAATCTTTCTTCCAGAATCTGTCAAGGCCTCTTGCAGAAGGACTGGAGGACGATCTTCACAGGTCCCAGGTGTATTGCTGAGATGTAAAGTTGTCTTTTTTCTTGTTTGTGACCAGCAGATGTTTATGGCTGGCACAGCCTGACTGGCAACAATAAACTCATTTCCTATATGTAAGCCCTGTTTGTCATGTAACCACTCTTGTGTGAGAGATGCTTGGAAAGGTAAAGGATATATTTGGTAAAATGTAATGCAAAAAGCTCTGACATTTAGAAATACTCATAGGTCCAACAGTCACTCCATGTGAAGGGGGTTTGCTGTATGAATCTTATAAGCAGTTTAAACAGGCCAAGAGGAGCTGTGGAATAAATATGTCTACCTGTATATATCAATATAGAAAAATCCCTACACTGTACTTTTCCAAATCTTTAGTCACTTTAGAAAAAGATTCTGGGATCCAGAGTTTTGACAATACCTGGCCCCTGGTTTTTGTGAAGTAGTGCAAATAATTTCTTTGGGGTGGAAATGTCAAAAAACTACTAAGTCCTGTAAAATGATCAAATTTCATTAACATTTCAAATGCTCTTTTTCACCATTTGAATCCCTGTCACAATGACTAAAATCTTTATAAAAAATCAAAACCTTTCCACTATCTTTCATGTTAATAATGAACACTGGATAAAGAAGGATCTCCCAGAGCAGTATTTTAATTAATACACTTTGCACTGTAACTAGCTTCTGGGAATTCAGATATGCTTGCACAGGGGGACTTTAAAATTTAAATATTCCTAATAAGCTTTTTCTTACAGTTAACGTTAATTGAGGACTACAGACAAGAATGATTACTCTCCTACTAAAATAATTCCTCAGTTGAATTCCTGCAAGAATGCCTTTTGTTCTTTTGTGGGTTATAGTCAGAATTTATATTCAGGAATGGAGTATTGTGATTTTGCTATCAATCTTTTTAGCTACCCAATTTTTTTTCAATACAGTTCTGTAGTTTTGTTTGGTGTGGTTGTCCCAGATTAGACAGAACAAGACCAGAAACCACAATACAACCTGGTAAGCAGTACTGGAGTAAACAGCTTTTGCTCTCTCAGAACATGAACTGCTCAATTTATAAAGCTGATTCTAAACTGAAAAAAAAAAAGATTAAATTACTTATAATAATGCCCAAAGGACCAAGAAAATATGAGTTTAAATTCTTGTTTGTCAGCTGTTGGGTAGATCTTCTCAAACTGAGTAGTCAGTAATAGAAGAAGACAAGCGACTGTGACTTTATCACTGGATGTAGAATCTCTGCTGGTTTCTTTTTTCCATATATTGGCTTTTGCAACCTGTATAACAGTGTTTTATATGTTGGGATGTTATCTTTTACAATTCTACTAGCAGGGTAGTTCTTAAAAAATAAGAGGACAATTCAGAATACAGAATATGTAAGCTGAACAAATTGACTTTTGGTAAATCCCCCAGACTGTGTTTATTTTCCAACACACTTTCATGCTTCAGCTTGCTGGTTTATGACATAATCTGTTTTATAAGGCAAAACACATGCCAAAAGTGAGAGATTACTGAGAAACAAAACAATGCTGCAAAGTTGACTTTGCAAAGCCAGAGAGTTCCACAGAGCACTTTATGTGTTTGT